TATAATTGGAACTTTTACCCTTTTCTTTTCATCTATTAGCAATTTAGCACAAGGCTTTCTAGCAAAGATATGTAAACAAGAGGTAACTATGATGTGAAATTATACGCTATACCAAAAGTTATAAATATTGAAGGTTAAATCCAATCAAAAATTACAATGGATCTGAACATTTTAAACCTAGTAATAAAAAATATTATTTTTAGGATCAAATTGTATTTTTTGGTGAATTCTCTCTCAATTCCAACTAAAGTCTTGCCGAGTGTTTTTGAGATTGGCTACATAAGTTCTATTTCGCCATTACGTTTTATTAAGGACCATGTTTTTTTGTTAAATCACAAATTATTATATATTTTTTTATTATTTTATTTAAAATTAATTTTTATCCTTATGTCATATCACTTTATCTATCATTGTTACAATATGCCACTTATAAATATGTTTGGGAAAATTTCATCCACACCTTCTCTAGTTAGGTCTAAATTCAATGACACCCCCTCTAGTTAAGTCGAAATTTAACGACACCTCCCGATTCTAAAATTTCACTGCACTCCCTTCTAATTTATATTTTCAAGTCAAAGACACATTTTTAACAGTAATTTTTAACTTTGTCAGTACAAAAAGTAACAATTTGACTATAAATTTTTTAAAAATATCAAAATTACCCTTCCTTATGTAAATATACTAAAATGTCTTCAACCCCTTTTCCACTATATATACCACACATTTTGTTATTTGTGAAGGCCGAAAATGATTTGGGTTGCTTAAAAACACAGGAACTGAAGTCGGCTATTATTTTTTAATTCCTTCTCCAAAGTAATCGATTACTACCTAAGTTGATAAAAAAAATTATTTTTTTCTTGCAAATTTGTAAATGTTTTTCATGCAAATTTTTTGAAAATTTTTATGCACTTTTTTTTTAATTTTTTTCATGCAATTTCTTTTATTTTTTTCATGCAAATTTTTTAAATTTTTTTCACCCAAAACTCCCGTTAGGACTTTTAAGTCATTAAATTTATTTTCTTATAAGTTGTTGAGTAAAGAGTACACTTTTCGATTTCTTATTTCTTATATTACCTAAGTTCTCTCTATGCTATTTTTTTGTTGTTCGTTAAAAATTACAAGATTTTAAACTTATTTTATAGGTAAAAATTAATTTTTTTATAATATAATTATAATCGATAAAGTCAATATCAATTTTTTATCTATTTCTAACTTCTCTTCTATCGTTTGTCCTCCATAATATCATTTGATCACTCTTTATACATCAGTCTTCATATATAAAATTTAAATATTATTTGATAAAATTTAATATTAATTAAATAAATTTGGTCTTAATATGATAAATTTAAATATTAATTTAGTTTTAATTTGATAAAATTAAATATTAATTCAGTATTGATTTGATAAAATTTAATGTTAAATTTAATAAATTTAAATGTTGCTTTAATGAAATTTAATAAATTTAAATGTTGTTTTAATGAAATTGAATGTTCTGTTAAATTAAACAACTAACATTAATTTGATAAGGTTAAATGTTAAATTAATAGAATTTAATATTCTATTTAATATATTAAATTTTAATTTAATAAAATTAAAAGTCAATTTGTTGTTGATTTGATGAAATTAAATAATAATTTAATAATAAATTAAAGAAAGAATATTACTTTGATGAAATAAAATATTAAATTAATATAACTAAATGCTAATTTGATAAATTAAATATCAATTTATGTTGATTTGATGAGATGGAATGTTAATTTAGTTTAAATTAAATAAAAGACATTAATTTGATAAAATTAAATATTAAATTGATGAATCTAAAGGTTAATACAATAAAACTAAAAAAGAGTGCATTAAAATTTTAGAATCAGGAGGGGGTATTGTTAATGATAAGTCTATTTACAGGGGCTGTCGTCGAAGTTATGTCTATTTACAGGAAGTGTCGTTGAAGTTATGTTTATTTAAAGGAGTGTAGATAAAATTTAACCTATAAAATATTCAGAGATATTTTTATAAATTAATAATCGTCGTTAACGTCGTAATCTGACAAACACTGACAAGAGGTGACAGTGAAGTTTCAGAATTGGAGGATTTGTCATTCCATTTAGACCTAATTACAGGGGGTGTGAATAAAATTTTCCCAATATGTTTCTAAGTCAATTTATTCTTAATTTATTTACTATACATTCTACCTCACTTTTTCACAAATATATTTATTTTTAATTTTTATCTTAATATTCTCATTTCTTTCGTATTTGGTATCTTTCCTAATTAGGACTGATATTGAATTGAGTTACTCGAGTTTTACTTGAGTTCAGCTTATTTAAGCTCCACTCATTTTCTAAATGAACTAAATTTGAATATTTTTTAAACTCGTTTAAAAAAATTGTGAATTATTCCAGACCTCTTGAGATTTGTCATTTAATCACTCAAACTCATTGACAATTGAAATATTACACACAAATCCTAAGATTTATACGCGTGTAACACTTACACCCCTGTCGTCAATATCCGTTATTATATCAGTTTGTAAATTATATTTAGATCCTCTTAAGTTTAAAATATTATACTTAGATCAAAAATACTCTTATCAAATACAGAATATCAAATATTTTAGATTTTACAACCAAAATTCATGTTTTATTATATCATTTATTGAAATAAAATAAAAAAAATCAAATTTTGTTTTAAAAATTCTAATTAGTATACAATTATACAATTTATTGGAATAAAACTAAAAAAGCAAACAAAAGGTCTAAATCATTCATAAAAGAACATGAATTTTATAATCAACATTCATATTCTATTATGTTATTTATTAAAATAAAATCAATAATAGAAGTCTATTTTTTTCTTAAAAAAATATAATTAGGATATAATTATACTATCTATTGGAATAAAACTAAAAAATCAAATAAAGAGTCAAACTCTAATAGACAAAATATCTTCTAACTTTAATTGAGATAATTTTATTGTTTAATTTAATCGTTTAAATAGTCAAATTAAATTTCTATAGATAATATAATTATATAATAATTTTAATTTTGTAAGAAAAAATTAAATTTTTAATTTTAATTTTATTTCAATAAATTTCATAAAAGAACATGAATTTTGATTGTAAAATTTAAAATATTTAATATTCTATTTTTTTATTAGAGTATTTTTTGTCTAAATATAACACTTTAAACTTGAGGGATCTAAGTATTATATATGCCTACAAACTTCAACGGATCTTGGTGTAATTTACTAAAAAATATATTAATGGTCATTGATGATAAAGGTCTAAGTGTTATATGCATATAAATTTTAAGAAGTTTTTGCATATAATAGAATCTAAATGATTAAGTGATAAATTTTATGAATTTGAATGAAATTATCTTTTTAAAAAACAACTTCAATAAGTTTGATCCTATTCGATTCGTTTATTTGTAAATATTGAAGTTGAGTTCAAAATTGGGTCCACTTATTTTCTAAACATAAATGAGTCAAATTTTAAAAAAAAAAAATCCCAAACTTTTTCAGTTAAAAAAAAAAAAGCTAGGTAAGATCGTCTATCAGCCCCATTCTTAAGGCTTTCCTTACTTTTCCCGAATCTATTACCAATCTACCTCATTTCTCAAATTAAAATATCAATCTACTGCCATTTTTAACTTATTTACCAAACTACCATTGTTTTAAAAGAGAAATTATCAATTCCGACTTTATCTCAAAAAGCGAATTTGTCAAATACGTCTTTACTACTGAAAGTGGATTTGTCAATTACGTTTTTAATTGAATAATTGTAATTTTGGAATTTGTTTTTAAAAGTGGAATTACTAAGTCCGACTTTATTTAAAAAGCGGACATAGTAATTACAACTTTATTAGTGGAAGCGTCTTTGTTAATTGTGTTTTCAATTTTGTTTTTAAAATTGAAAGTGTGTTTGGTAAGTGCGATTTCATTTGAATATCAACCTCCCAGAGCCCCCTTTATGTTATTTCATTACTTCGCCTATCTCTTCTCTCTTCTCTCTTCTCTGTGGAAGGTCTAATTCGCCTCTCTTCGCTCTTCACTGTCTCCTCCTCATTCTTCCATTATTGTGTCTGATTTCATCACCCCTAAGCTTAGCCTTTATAATGCACAAACCTTACTGATGAAATCCAAGCGTAGCCGTAGTTTTTTTGAAGAAAACAACTGACTTATGGATCAATGAAAAGCTGTGAGATTCGGTTGAGGTGTGACATTTTTCCAACCGTGAGATTTCATTGTAAGCTCTAGTTTTGTCGATTGAAGCAGTAGACTGGTACACACTCGTGGGCTAGGTCTGAATGAAAGAGAAGATAGCGGTTCACGTGTTAAACACAAAGCTTCTATTTAAGCAGGTACGCTACATTGACTCTTTAATTCAGAAGAAACCCAAGTGTAATTGCAAAATTTTCCCATTGGTCAATCCCTATAAATGTTGAATTAAGAAATCCCCAAGTGTTAGTGCAAATTTTCAATACTTATTGCCTAATGACTGTGTGATTTTGAAAATCCCCAAATTTTTTCAATTTTGAATCCCCATAATGCTGCGAGTAGTTTAAACTGAATCTTTTCTTTAGAAGATTACAGTGTGAAGGTATATTTTTATTCAGAAATTTATTTTCATGTGCATCACCGTCTCTGATATTGAATTCAACTGCAATATATATGATTGTAATGTACGCTTTCATTAGAAAGCGAAATTATTAAGTCCGCTTTCTTTGGAATATAGCTACAGTTTTTTATTCATAACAGCGAATCTGATAGATACGCTTTCAATAAAAAACGGATTTGATAAATTTGATTTTAAATAAAGGTGTTATTGTTAAATCCATTTTTTGATGTAAAGTTGTTTTTGCTAATTCCCTCTTTTAAATGAAATTGAATTTCATATATTTGATTTTAAAACAACGATAGTTTAATAAATAAATTGATATTTAAGTTTGAAAAATGGATAGATCGGTAATATATTCTACTTTTCCCTCTCTCACTCCCACATGGCCTCTTATGGCGTGAAAAGCTTCTCACTCAACAAGCCCACCAATACCCACAACAATAACAACAAAGAAGGAACATCTTCAAGGCTATCCAAATCACAGATCGTCTACAGGAGCAAGCAAAGGAGGTGTAATGTAGCATATGTGGCGAAGCGACTGTTGAAGAGCACCGGCAAGGCCACGTGGATCGCCGGAACCACTTTCCTCATCCTTGCCCTTCCCCTCATCATCGAGACGGGTCGCGACGAGCAGCTTATTGAGCTCGAATTGCAACAGGCCAGACTTCTTGGTACTCCACCGCACTGGTAGGTGAGGCCTCTGAGAAGTGATTTAATGTGGAAGTACGGAGGGTTTTTTGGATTATTGAATTTGATTTTGGATATTAGGGTTTTAGATTGGTTGGAGAATATTAGGGTTTTGAGGATTGGGGTTTTAGAAATGGGAATTTGGTGGGTTTTGCTGGTTTGTTTTTAAAGAGGATGAATATTAGTTTTTGAGCTTGATTTTGAACATTGGGGTTTTAAATTGGTTGGAGAATGATGGGGTTTTCAGGAGGGTTTGGGGTTCTAGAAATGGGAATTATGGGATTTTTGTTTGTTTGTGTCTGATGGGTGATGAATGATTTTGTGGAATATTCATGGATTATGGTATAATTGTTTTTTGAGAGTTATGGTTTTACTGTTAGTGCTGATTGCCGAAGGGTAAAGCTAAGTTTTGTCTGATGTTAAGTGCATTGCTATGCTTGCGAAATTGTTTACTAAATTTTGCATATCATATCAGTGTAGATAGTTGGATTAGTGAGTTCCACCCACTCCAACTAAACATTTGATGCATAGGATTTCGCCAAATCATTTGGTATACAACATTTGGTAAGCACATTTTGGATGTATAGCTTTATTCTTATGTTAATCTGTCCCAATTGATGGAGTCAGATTGGGCAATGACCATTTCAGAATTTTATATTTTAGTGTTCATCTCAAGTGGATGATGCAATGATTACTGAGATTCAAGCTCATAATTAGTTTGTCTTGCAATGCATCTATATTGGAGAGCTTTTCCATGCTAATTCATCACCTTGTTGGGTTTCTTTTGATACTTCCTATGGCGTATGTTTATGGCTTATGACAACTTTGTCTCAATTACCTTGAAACAGGACCCTGATTATCGTCCTGTACTTATGTGTTGGGGACAGTCACAGTCACAGCTTTTAACTGGATTTCTAGTTGCTATTTTAGAGTATGTGTTAGGTGATAATTTGCGGCAGCAGTCTAATTGTTGTTCCAATAAGTTGAAGGTATATTACATATTTAAAAAGATTGATCACCATTGTGCATTCTGAACTTGACTTTTAAAATTTGTATGGAAGATTTATATGGATATCAACAAGCTTGATCTAAGTGTGCCATCCCTTAACTGAAGATTTTCATTTCATCGATGTGTTTAAATATTTCGAGGTGCGGCAATAGCCTTGAGCTTATGGCATGATAAGTAGGCTATGATTAATCTTGCATGATTACTTTAGAACCATGGGGCTGGGCCTCTTGGTGTCTGTCAAAAAATATGAACATTGCAGATTTCCCATTTGTATAGCATGCCATACTTGTTCTAATATAGCATTGATCTCTGTAGTTGGGTCTTTTTTGTTATCTTCTTAATCCTATTATCTCAGTCCTCCAAAAAAATTTCCCACAACATGCCTGTCTAAGCCACTGATATGTAGAATACCTGTTATTGAAAGCTGGCTTGGTGGCAAATGTATAGTTTTTATACCCATCCAGGATATTCTAAATAGCTTAGGATTATAAGCAGCGTATTTCAATGAACAAGAAGCTGTGAATAGGTAACTCATGCGGCTGAAGAATCTATACAAGTTAACAGCTTGAGAAAAACATTGTACATTGATTGTAATGGGGTTAGTTTCGAGATCAATACTTCTGACTATTATCCAAGTGCATCATCAAACTTCTTGTTTTTCTCTAAGAACCTATAATATCTGTCAACCGTTATCAATAATCCCCAGAAGTACAATTACCATCTAAAAGCCTATGGTATCTGTTCAACATCCCTCACAATAATCTCCCTTTCCACCACCCTACTAAAATACTTGAAAGTCTCATGACAGTCCCTACGAATCCTCAAACTCTTCACTATCCTATCCAAGTCTTCCCTGGTAGTGCTGCCCCGACATACAAATGTGCTACCCGTTTCTCATGGTCCTTTACTTCATGCAACATCTCGTCCCAAACCGACACATACCCTAATTTCTCAACATCTCATCCCAACGCCGGTGCCAACATTTGTACTAGATCATATGAATCCTTCATTGTCCTAGTCCATGAGGTTTAATTTTGTATAACACTTGGTCCTCATCAAAATTATAAATACCCCAACGGGCAAATAATTTTTGAATTTCTCTCAAAACACCACAAATAAAATTTGTCTCAGTAATACTCCTCTCCGCACACACCACCACACAGCAAGTCCCACCTACCCTAAAATTCCTAACCAACTGCCACTTCTAGCCCCAAATATAATAGTCCAACCGCTACTGCTACCGCCAGCCATCACCTCCCCTTATCCCTGCTGCAAAACCCACTGTGCACCCCCCCCCCCCCCCACATTCCTACGTAACGCACCTAAAATACGTAACGCACCTAAAAAATCACCTTTATTGAACCCAAACCTAGTTCATCCATGTCCCAAGCCAGCACCTCTGTACCAAAAAATTAGGAATCTATGACCGAAGTACAGTAAAATTGAAACTTATTTATTAATTTACAGTCGTTTTGAACTTATTTACTAAAATACGGCTGTTTTAAAAGCGGAAGTGCAAAATTTAATTTCATTTAAAAGCGGAATCAACAACTCCGAATTTATCCTTAAAAGCGGAATCAACAAGTTCAAATTTATGCTTAAAAGCGGAATCAATGGGTCCAAGTTTATGCTAAAAACGTATATATCAAATACACTTTTAGTCCATCACGTGTAACACCCAGGAGGCAGAGAGGGTTAGTCAGTAGTTATGACATCTCTGACACATCAATTAGTTAAGGGTACTGGTGGTTGTAAAACTTTAAGTTTTACTATTTTAATAAGTATTTTTAAATATTTATCATTTTTGTAGTTAATTTATCACATTTATAGATATTTTTGTTATTATTGTGGGTATTTTTATCATTATTTTAGTAATTATATTTACTATTTTTTTTATACAAAAATATATTATCACTTTTGTTAGTGATTTATTACATTTATGAGAGTTTTTATCATTGTTATAGTAATTATGTTTATTAATTTTTATTATTATTATTTTTATAACACAATAATAACAAAAAATATTTATAAATATGATAAAAGTCTGTACGGTATCCAAAATTTTATTTTTGAGTATCGTGGACAAGTCTACATACATTATTTTGGATACAAGTGTATGTATATCTATATATTTTGACTAGCTCTTTTGAGTATTGTGGACAAGTCTACATATATTATTAGCTGGTTAAGACTTGCAGGTAAAAACAAGTGAAGATAATGTAAGTAGACTTGTCCACGATACTCAAAGACTTGTCCATGGCATTTCAGATGCATGAAGCTTAGGAAAAGTGGCCATAGAGTCGATTAGACCGATTGCAAAAACACGACCCACAAAGAGGCACCATCATGCATATTGTTCGTCAAAAACTAAACTAAACTATGAAATCAAGCGAAAATTCAAGTTCAAAACTTCTTAATCACCCCCAATACCACACCATATTCAATGTACTAGTGGCGTAGCAACCATAAAGAATGGTCTAGATTTCTTGAAGTTGGCCAAAAGTTAGGGGTTGAATTTCACCTAAAATACTTGCATGATGAGAATTAAGTAGTCAAATCTTAGCCTTCCTATCGCAATGAAGCCTTAGTTTTTATCATGCGAATATTGTGGACTAAATTCATTTATGGATCTAAATTATTGTGCAATATTACTGTTGCCTAAGAAACTTAAAGAAATGTTTATTTGATCGAATCAATGTGGAATGTGGAGAATACTTAAGTTATTAGTAAGATAGCTCGAACATCTCCCATCGAAATTTAAAACAAAATGTTCATTGGTGGAGTGGGACTAGGGACGGTAGTGGACCAGATAAAAATGAATATTCGTTTAAACGTGTCTCGTTTGGACTGGATATAGACTATACCTATTAGTCAGTAGACGTATACGAGAATATCCATATAAACATGTGCAGAGATAAAGACGGGTATGTATTGACACTTACTCTTATCCTGCCCCTCCCCGCCCCGCTTTGCATCATCGTCATCATCATTATTATTATTATTATTATTATTATTATTATTATATGTTGATATGAATATAAATATACATATTATTGAATGACTTTTTATTTTTGAGAAATTGTTTTGTTTTTTGATTTTTTTTTCATGATTTTAGCTTATAAAAGTGTGGATCTTTGTATTTTTATATTTTTTTATGTTAAATTATATTATGTTATATTATGTTGTGTTACATGATATTGTATTGGATTTACAAAGAAAACAAGCTTTTAATTATATTATGTTGGATTATGTTTTAGATAATTAGGTTGTAAATGACAAATTTTTAATTATATTATAATATGCTATAATTATTTTAAATTATTTAGAATGTTAAATATATTTAAAATTTTGAATTATTTTAGTTTGAACTTGGTGGGTAAGGTGGATGGGAATGGGGGTGGGGGCCGAGGTGAAAGCGGGGAATGGGGTGGGAGAGGAGATTACAAATTTATCCTCAAACGAGAATGGGAATAAAAAATTATATCCATTAACAAGATGAATAGAAAATAGACAAAATTTTTTTAAACAGATACGAAGATAAAGATTATATACCCTGCCTTCGCTTTCATCCACTGTCATACCTTAAGGGGCTGTTTGTTTGAGGTATAAGGGTGGTATAAAAGGGATGATATAAGGAAAATAGTACGTGGAGTCTACCTTAAACATTATTACTTTGACATTTTTTACTAGGTACTAATTTTCGGGTCATAGTACCGACCCGGGTGTGAACAGTAACACTAATGCCTTCTATACGGTGTTATTCAATATCACCTACCCGGTGGTATAATATTCTTGGTATAAATGAATGAAGATATAATAAACTAAAAAGACCGAAATACCCTCAAGTATAATACCCATATAAAAGCCTAGTTGTAATTTTTGATTTTTTAAGGTTAAAATTATTTTTTTACATTTGTTAGTCGCAATTGTTGACTTTTTTAAGTATGTATTACACAGATAATACTTGTGACAAACAAACAAATGGAATGATAAAATTATAATTTAAGATCAAATATAATATACTATTGAATCAGAGTGAAATAAATATAAAATTTTATACCACTAAAACCTTATACTCGAAACAAAGTGTGGTTTGTCGCATCAGCCCTGGCCCACAGATCTACACATAAAGCCCAGATAGATTAGATCTTCTCATGTAGTGGACCCCCTCTTTTGCCATTATTCTCTTCCTCACAGTCCAAAAGTCAAAATCAACTTGTGGGGGCACAAAAGTTGTTACTTAAGGGCCCACATCCAAGCTGTCAAAAATCTGCAGCAGATGAACCAATGAAATAACACTAAATAATTTATGGTACAACTGGGAAGCAATCAACTGCTTAAAGTGTTTCGGTGTGAATGGTTTTTTTATAATCCTATGCTTCTTTGCAGTATTGGAATTACTATCATTTATTATTAACTCAACTAGGACTAAATTTGAAATTGACATTAACATAATGAGTAAATTTTGAATTTTAAATCAAAAAAATATTAATATTTTAATATCACATTATTTAATTTTAATTTTTAAATCATTTAATCAATTTAACATTACTCAAATATCATATCCTTGAGAATGAGGCTCAGAGAGATGGATGTTTCTGGGGTAATTGCCCCCTCTGGAAGCCAATGATTTCACCAACCACAAAATCAGCAGCCACCTTCCCCTTTAAAAAAAAAAAAAATCATATTCTTAGTACGCCTTCATGTGCGAATTAAATTTTAGCCCTAGATGTGAAAGTCTTCTAATTGCAATTGTTCAAAATGAATCTACATTTTTTGGTTTGATTACTCGCTTTGGTGGTGATAATGTTCAATAAGAACATTCAAGATGATATTAACCAAACTCTAAATGCGTTTCAAATCGTCTAAGTTGGGTCGAACTTTAGATGATGGACTTCAACCCACCACAATTGCACGTTTAAATTGAGTATCGGGACTCATTCAACCACCACATTAGCAAACTCTAAGATACTCATTAAGCACTCGGATGTAAAGGCTAAGTCTTTACTACAATATCCTCACCGTACGACTGTAGTGGGTCGAACTTCACCCTTTAAAATTCACCCCCAGTAACTCTTTGAAATAAAAAAAATTCAGCCTCATTTCAGACTAAATCAGTTTGAAGAATTCAATGCAAGGCAAAACTGAGCTGAGGAGATTCTTCTAGCACAACTTCTTCATGATGGACACAAGGTTCATGACAAAATCAATGCAATTTAACATGATTATCCCATTAATTTATGAGAAGTACTCTATTCAAAAGAAACTGAACCATTAGGCAGGGGAGCAACATTTGTTTTCATTAAGAATTCCTCCTTAAGATTATGTCAGATGTCTCTTCCTATTAAACATCATGCAGATGGTGTTGGCAAAAAATTTGTTTTGACTGCCAGGTGACACTGTTTAAATCCCTCGCAAAACAGCAAAAATTGACAGTATCTCAACAACCTGAGAGAGAGAGATAGAGACTAACAAGCACATGACATTGAGCAGAAAAAAGGTCAAAAGCCAACAAGTACTCTTTCCCCATCTTTTTCAGCATTGACAAACATTCATTCTTGCATCCCTTTCTCCTCCTTTTCTTTCTCCCAGTTTCTCTCTCTACCCAACAATTTCCTTAGTTGCATCAAAATTTCTATAATTACTTCCTCCCCCCACCTCAAAAAACACAGCTCAAAAACCCTGTTTCCTCTATGCAGGAAAAACACAAGGAAAGAATCCACCCCAGGAAGAACTTTTTGGTGCTTCCAATACCCATCTGCTCCTTTCAATAATCTGCACAAAGTAACTCACATTCCAACCACATTAACAATAGGAAAAGAATATTTATAACAAACAAGTGTATAAAAAAAGTCCATCTCTTTTACTATATACTTCAACAACTGAGGTGGGTGTAACCTTTTCAGTATTCTTCTTAGAGAAGTGTGTATATATTGAAAACTGTTCCAGAAAAAAAAAAAAAATTGTCTAGATGTACTTACCATCATGTTTCTTCGTTAAATTTCTAGCAAACATCAAGAAAATCACAAGAAACACTACTCCTGCTGCCCCTCCTAGGATAATAGCCACTGTCTTTCCTGTATTTTGTCCTGAACCTACATGAATCAAACACATTCCCCATTAATATACTCACAAGTGCCCTTTGAACTATTGTTACCAATTTCAGAGAGAGAAAGTGAGACCCAAAACTGTTTTAGACAAAATTGTCAAATAAGAGTATGGAAAAATTCACTGTCAACCATTAAGCAGCATTTACAGATATAAGAGGCAAGTCTAAGTTAGACAAAATCCATGTGTGGAGCCATAAAAGAGAATATGTAAATGGAAAAATAAAAAATCTAACCAGTAATAGCAAAAAAGGCTTGGCTTAGGAAGAAAACAGGAAAAAGGATTGAAAGAAAAAGCAACTGTACCTGATGAATAAGAAGGAGATGAATATGAATATGAAGATGAAGATGAAGATGAGGATGAGGATGATGATGAGGAGGAGGATGATCTGGTGGGGACCCCATTAGGATAATAACTATAGCTAATAAAGCATTTATCAAGGTAGATTTGGCCTGATATAGAGCTTCCACACTCAACCTGAGCTCTCTGAACAGCACTTGTCACACAAGTACCACAGTCATTAGTGCCCAAATCACCCTCACACTGCCCCAAAACATACACAGATTCATAGTTTGTGGCATAAAACCCACTGCCAGCAACCACACCACTCTCCAATGTTGAAAAGGCAGTGTCTCTTCTCATTTCAAACCCAGCTCCTCCAACATTTGTTCCACTACAAGTCTTGTACAGCATCTCCAATCCAGGGACTTGAGGAAACCCAGCAACCTCATAGAGCATATAACAGCCCAAAAGTTGGATTCTTGCAGCAATGGGTTTACCACAGAGTTTGTCAATGAATATTGGTAGCTTGCTCACACAGTTGTAGCAGTCAACATTACTGAGGTCACCTCTACATTGAAAGATACCAGAGAGAGTGGTTTGGCCACTACCAGAACTTGTGTTGAAAAACTTGGCCCTGGAAGACTGTTGAATCAAAGTACCAAAAATGGCCGAGAGGGCTTGTGAGTAAACCCCAGTTGGATCTGATAAAGCCTGATTTGCACAGCCCTTGTACACCAAGTTGGTGTTATCAAGTGCAGATTCAGCTGCTGGGATCATCTCAAGGTTGGTGAACAGGGCCAGAAAAAGAAAGAAGAGGCAAAAGAGTTTTCTGGGTAAACCCATTTGTGGGGGTGTTGATGGATCAAATCATGGTTGGTTTTAAAAGATTTTGAGGGTTTTTAGAGATGGGTTTTGGTAAAGAATAAGGAAAGATTGAAGGGTTGTGTTTGTTACCTCGATCTTTGGTTTCTTTTGGGGAGTTTGGGATTTGCTTTCCTTTCGGATGTGCATAAAGGGGGTAGGGGGCATCTTTCACCCTCTGGAGAAGAGTTGTATACATATGGTGATAGGAATTAAAAAACATTTTTTTGGAAATTGTGAACTATTAATTAATTACATTTGAAAATCTAATTTATTAGTATTTGAAGAGAATGAGAACAAAATGTGTTCCGTAAAAAAATGTGTTCTGTAAAACAATTCATAAAGTGTGGAATTATTCTCTGGGTAAAAGAGGCAAGCAGAGGGGAGACAGAGAGAGAGAGAGAGAGAAGAAGGAATCTGATTTTGTGGGAGGCAAGAAGAGTAGGAAGTTTGACCAAATTACAGCCCCTTAACACTTCAGTCAGTGTTTTAAATTTGAATAACGACTATAGATAATATAAAACATAAAGTTAATTCGACAGTATCAAATAAATTTATTTAACCTATACTAACATTTCTCTCAAAATCACTCACATTACGTCATACCTTCATGCACATAGTTAGTCGTAACACAATGAATTTTAAAATTAATTGACAAAATTTTAGGATACATTTAATAACGTTTTCGTTTTTATGTTTTTTTTATAAAAAAAATAAAATTAATTTTTATTTTTTCTGTGATAAAAATAAAAAATATAAAACATATATGGTAGTCATTTATATTTAAAAAATTATAAAAATAAAAATAAAAAACCTGGTATTATACCAAATCCCACTCACCATCCAAAACCATCACTCAAACCCCACCAACAAAACCAAAATCAACCCCCACCACCGAAATTCACCCCCACCACTGAAGATCGTCTACTAGGATGAAAATCGTCGGAGATGAAGATTGTCTGCCTTGGAGGAATTGGAGGAGCTTCGAATCTTTTTTTCATATGGGTTAAGAGTCTTCAACAAAATGAGAAAAAAGAGAGTTCTTGGCAATTTATAGGGTAAGGAAAATAACCTATTATTTTGTTGTGGAGAGGGTTCAAAGTCCCGACCGCATTAAAATGACTTGATTACTACCAGCGTGTTTTGGTTTTTTGATGTTTCCATATTTTAGCCTTGTTTTTAAAACGGATCAGATAAAAATAATTACATAATTTTTTTAATTATATAATTTGAAATTATTTTACATCCACTATTATTTTTAAAAAATTGACAAAATTTTCTCAAAATTCATGTCCTCAATAAAATATTTACATGTGTACAATATCATATATAAATAATATCTGAAGTAAAAATTATAAATTAAATAATTTAACTTATGATAAAAATGAGTGATGTGATAAGATTCAAACTCTTATCTCCCTTATTATTTAGATTTTGTAACCGTATAAACTATAGATTTCTGCTACTTAACATTATTAGTATGTAATTTTATCTAGCTTCTGTTGCCGTTCTTTCCTTTGCAGCTGTGGGGTTTTACACATTCATCTCAATACCATACCTGAGATGAAGGCTCAAATGTTTGATAATTTGCATCTTGCTGGATTATTTCTATCTAGCTTTGTCAATATTGTTGGATGAGACTAATTCATATCAATTCTTAACGGTTTTGTGTTGAAAAGTATTTCTCTTATACTTGATTCATTTACTAATTTATGTCAAACAAATCATGTCATATTTAGTTCATGTAATATCATATCGTGTATTTTTTTAATTAATTTTATTCATACCTAATTTTTTTATTAATCGTGTCATATCGTGCTAAGTTAACTCATTTACGAAACGAATAGCTTAAAAAAAACCGAACGGAGAGTTCTTATTTTCCATGTAACACATCTTTGTAGTTTTTGTAATGTTTGTAAGACCTCAATTTTTCAATGTTATCTCAGCTGTTTTAAGCTTATGACAATGTATTTATGAGATCATCCTCTATTTCATTCTCCACTACTTACTCTTAATAGAGAAGCAAGGGTTCTTCCCTACACCCCAATTGTAAATGAGTTATAAATTATAAGGTAAATTAGAATGACATTTTCGGAAATTTGGTTTATTATATGAAAATCCAACCACTCCATGACATTTCACAAGTAACATCACAATCTCGAAAAAATACTCACAAAAGGGTTAAATTTGACCCAAAAAAATGGCAAGTAAACCCAGAAGATAACTACACTTCAAGAATTAGTAACTCTACAAAAAAAAAAAAACTGATATAGATATCTAAAAAAATGACAAGTGAAACAATACTAAAAACAAAATTTCCAGTATCGAATTTCAAAGTTGTATCAACATATTAGCTGTGGCACTTCAAAGATGTATCAGCAGGACCTGTTCCGGATCAGAAAAAATGGCATCTGCAAAAAAATACTTGTACTAGCAAATACGGCTTCCCTTATTTCTTGTTGGAACGTTATAACTAGGCTTCAAACTAATTCACTGGAACAAAATAAACACACACATACACATCCAACATGATATAACCACCACCACCACCGACTGCCATGATAACCAACCACCACAGCCGAACCACAAAAAAAAAAAAAACTACAACAATAGAAAATTCAAAAGAACAAATAATGTAATACACCATATCCAATGCATAGTGGCCTTAGTTGCCATGGTAATATCGATATCCGATACACTGCCAAAATCACATTTCATATTTTTTCCCTAATTTTTAACAGATGAGATACTCTTTTTTTGGGTTGGTTTTTTTTTTTTTTGGGGCGGGGGGAGAGGTTCTGGCTACTCTAAACGTTGAAATGATACAAAACAACTGGCTCACAGGAATTCCGTTGTTACAATCTCAATCAACCTCCTCTTCAAACAATGTCACTGGCAACTCCCATATAGGTTACACCAGCTTCATTGCCTTTCATTCAGCTTGGAATGCAGGGATCAAAGCTAATACCAGACAAATTAACTATGATAAATGACATACTCTGCCGGTTGCTTTCACTTCTTCAGCCCAAGAAATACACCAATCTGCAACAATGGTGGCCGATGCTGCAGAAATTTCCGAAAAATATACATCCCCAGAGGCACAGAGCAAAAGGCACTTTAAGACTCCAATCCACCATCCTCCCCTGGCAGGCCAAATATTCGGAGGTTTCGGTCCATTGATCCAACTGCTAGGTATTTTGCATCTGGACCAAATTTTATACAAGTAGCTTTACCTGTACTCACCAACAAAAAGTGACTTTATTCCTCAACAAGAGCACTCAGAACTAAAAACTGAAGTACATATTAATGAGCTGTGAGATTCATCAGAGACAGAGAGACAGAGAGAACCTGTGCCAGACAAATCCGGGAATGTTTTGATACAATGCCATTCGGACTTCACATTGGCAACTTGATAAACTCTGCAGTAGCCAATATGATTATATCAGTTTCTAAGAACTCAGAAAAGTCCACAAATTACAAGTTAGCAATTAATAAGATAAACTAGGAAAAAAAAAAAATATCCCAATACTTTTCAAAAGAAAAAATGTCCCAAACTCGGGGATGGCATGTGGATAAAGAAAGGGGATGGGAGGCAGTGCACCCAAACCTTACAACATATCCACCCCCACAGGGTTAATTCAAGAGTAATGCTACACTGATTAAATTTTGGGACCAAATTTAGAGCCCAAATGATATGGCAGTTGACTTGGACTTCTTTATTTGGTGTCATGTCACTTGGGCCCTAATAAAGACTCTAAATAATATGCTGCCAAGTCATTTAGGCTCCAAATTTGGTCCCAAAATTTGGTCAACATAGCATTACTGTTAATTCAAACACCCACCTTATATCGGAGCCTCCTATCGCAAGGTAACTTCCGCTGTGGTCAAATTCCACTGTACAAAACAGGAACGGAAGTGGAATGAATCAGGATGCGTAAAGTAGTAGAGTAAGAAGTCAACAAGAACAATGAAATATCTAAAAATATCCCCCTTTCCATCATGAATACTAGTGTAAAATTACAAATACACAGGCCAGACGAGAGCTTTGTCTATACATTGAATTACTCTTGTTACCATAATTCTTCACAATTTTTTCTCTCTCTGAACTACAAGTGCGATTTATATGTATGCATGGATGTGGATATGGACACATGGGTATGCATGCAATACAACAATTCCTGCAACCCTATTATGGACTTATGGTGGAAACCCTCGAAGGTCAAACTTGTTGAGAAAATGTAATAAATTGTCCACGTGAGATTTGTCACTAATGTAAATTTCACAAAGGCAAAGTCGTTGGAATGTTCAAGGTTTCCTGAGCACACCTCGGAAACTGTTCAAAAGTCTTGTCCCAAGTATGAAAAATTACCAATTTTAAATTGTGATACTTCGAAATTTATTTAATACAAGTGCAAGCATCCTAAAAGTATCTGCATTGGACCGACATCTGACACCAACCAGCTCATTCTTAAAGCTTACATCCAAAATCCATGCATACGACATGAATATTTTTACATTGTGCATGAAGATTGATAGATACCTGATTGTGTAGGTGTATCTTCATCATATGGCGTAAAGCTCCTGAAGTTCCTCAATTTGCGTAGATCCCACAGCTTGACACCATCTTGAGCAGCAGTCTGAGAGTTGAGACAAATCAAAATATGGCACGTCTAACCAGATGTTCAAATATGCATTATTTCTGGTTTATAAGAACACATACTGCTAGGAAGTAACCATTTTCTGAAAAAGATATGGCATTGACTGCCCCAACATGCCCATCAAATCTTGCAACACTTGCCTGCAAACCAAGAACACGAATGGGAGAAAGATCTAATACCAATAGTGGGTAAACTTACGGAAGATATAATATACCTGACTTTTTACATCCCAAATTTTAACTAGAGCACCAGAGGTGCCTGTTCCAAGTATGAGACCATCAGGGTGAAAAGCTGCAGATGTATAGCCCTCAGATCCTGAAGAATCTGCAACCTGCAAAAAAAATACAAACACAAATGGCCAGTCAAAATAAAGTAGGAAAGAATGCTCATGGGCAAGCACATTCGTTATGTGGTGTTTGTATTAGAGAGAAAGAGGCAAGACCTGAGTGAGGCATAAACCAGAAGAAAGCTCATAGAAGCACCATGTATTATCCAGAGAAGCAGTCACAAAGTAGTTATTGGTGGCATGGATCGTGACAGCTTGCACCTGTCAAAATTCATAAGTACATTCTCAATTGCGGAATATGCGCAGGTAGTTTTGATCCAAATACTTTTAGTAGTAATTTAGAACTACAAACATTCTGTAATTTACAGGAATATTGATAGTAGTTCAGAAAAATGTTTATAACCTATAATCAGCATGGTGGAAAACACAGACATGAATCCACTGTTGGCTTTACGGGGTAACAAAACTACGAAAAGAAACATGCAAAGACTACTCTAAAAGCTTAAGCTGATAGCGAGAGGTGTAACCTTGGTACCAATCTAATAATAACAAAAACTAAAAGCAGAATAAAAGGGCCAAAAAAAAAAGACAGAGAAAGGAAAATCTAGATCTAGTTCTTATGACTCAACAAATAAACATATTAAAGAGAAGTCTAGGAGTGCCACTCAGGTTTTTTGCCTCATGGCTTGTAGATGATGTCTAAGAACTCAAAAACAAAATAGTGAAATTAAATTCATTCACGCCACTAGAAACACAGCTGATACTACCTCTAAATCTTAAAGGGTACTTGTTTACGAACAAAATTGGTATGACCAAAGCTTTTTTCTTGACAAAATGGGTCTTTGGTCTAATAGTACTCCTAAAAAAAAATTAAAAGAAGGGCTTTTTTCTTGACATGAGTAAGAAAGATTATGCAGTTATTAGGATCCACTCGGTCCGTTCAATTCAACAATAAAACAAAAGCCCATCTGTGTAGACTCAAAGACAATAAGCAAAATAACTACCACTTCCAGGTAGAAAAATGAGTATCTTACATTGTAGCCTAACCATAGACAGACTACAAACAAAGCACTAAAGTAGTTTGACATCACTTCAAGGAATTTAATCTTTTGTATATGCCACCATGAAATGGAGCCAAATTTTCTTTTTCTCAATGTGCATTCTTTCTTCAATCAAACTAGTCCACTCATCCCAGCACCCAACTTTGACTGAACCAACGTTGGGTAATGGCCTTCCAAAGGTCTTCTAGAGGCCAGTGCTTGGTGATATGCAAGAGCTTGGTTTACCAAGTGTGAGAGCACCGGTAAGTGTAATGACTTCCCACTTTGTAGAATAATACAGATGGTAAGATAAGCAACTGATCCACATTTTCCAGCATTCCAACAATTGTGGTGCAAACAGTAAATATAGGCCTTTTAAATCCTTAAAATACTGAATTGCCCCCAGCAGCCCGATAATTACTGATTCCAAATTTAATTATTATTATTTATTACTAGAGGTCGATATCACCAACTAAGACTTGATTTCTTGAAGTTGAAGAATTGTTTACATTCATATAGGTCCACTGTGCAAATACAGTGATCCAATATAACCTAGTTTGATGGATGGTATCCATTTTTTGTGAACACTGGGTGCTATAGCCACAAGTCAAGGGGTAGCCCCATATTACAAGAAGTTTACCGTGCACAAATGTATACTACCAAATATCAAAGTCATTTGTGCGAGATAGAACCAAACTTGAAGTATGTTAATAAGTCCACCAACATGAAAAAAAAAAAAAGCTCTGCAACGTCTTGAGTGATTTACAGAGAGCAGAATATCATTGTAGTCAAAGTGACAGGATTTTAAGGAGAGGGAGGGAGGTATTTAAATAAAAAGGCAAAGATGATCCAGAATGTGTGTGATGCAGTCACAAATAGCACAAGAAAAGGAACATTGAAGAAGGGACAACTGAAATTCCTCAATATAAACGTCCAAACCTTAAAATAGAGAAATATGGATAAGTAACGATACATCATAAATCTATACTTTTTTATTCATTTTACATAGTGTATAATTTCCTAAAATTTGGTATTGATGATTTATAGTTACATAGATGCAAGCAAATCTATAGATAGACATTGGTAGGATATACTAAACAAATACATGAACCTTCATTGGCAAAAAATAATATAAACTTCATTATTAATGCTTTTCAGCTAACAACTCATCTTAGCCAGAAAGTAAACAACAATCTACCTAAGATATGCTTTCACTTCCCAGATGTCTCCAATTTTAAATTTGAGGGTAATAAATGTTATAACAGAAGGGATTTGTTTATATTTTTTCTTGCACAGCAGTCTTATATTCTATTTAAACCAACACTTGTTTCAGTTACTCCAATTACCCATTATAAAAGATAAAAATAGCATATATTTACCAGTGTATCCTCTACATATCCTCGATTATCCTAAGTTATTGGTCACAGAAAAAAAAAATATCGGTTGCGTATCCTCGGGCGGATTCAAAATATCCAATGTATCCAGCTGTATCAAATACATATCCAGCACATATCCATATCCGATACATAGATACTCAAGCATTAGTAGAGTCTCCGTGCTAGATATCTTATGTTTAAGATGAGCAAACATTACATTTTAACCAAAAATATGTATGAGGAAATTCTGAAAATGTTTACTTTTCCAACACATGAACATGAACATGAACAGACAACTTGAAATGTCCAAGAATATTCAAACAGAATACATGCAACAGTTGGCCTAAGCAACCAGTACAGTTGGATATTCATGTCCAATTGAGAGGGAAAAAAACCAAGTACCTCTGCAGTATGGTCCTTCAAGATTTGCCTACAATCATAGTTCCCATTTTCAGAGCTTTGCCATAGACGAACCGTCTGCCACACCAAAAATAAACTTTAATATGGGATGTACAGCTTAAAACACTTGTTAAACACGGAGGGCTTCACACCTCTCACGGGGAAAATTCAGTGTATAATTATCGAAATTTTACAGTAGAAACCACCATTTTGAACTGGGACATAGAGTTAATGTAGTGCATTCATACAACTGAATAACGTCAGCCAAGAATCAAAAAGTTATAAGTAAATATGCAATAACATGATTCCATGAGTTTGTTTTTTTCAAAAACAAAAAAATTGGACTGCATTAAGAAACTACATTGCACAAATAATGGTCCATAGGAATTATACTATGTGGTGCACCCATCCAACCGAATCAAGCAAGATCCAAAAAGTTCTAAGTAAATATGAAGTGATGTGACTCCATATGAGTTTGTTACATAAAAAAATGGACTTACCCCTCCATAATTCTCCATTAAAAACTAACAAATAAACGGAAATGCTAAACGAAGGGTCAAAACCTCCAGCTGTCTGCAGTTATCAATCCCAGTATCTTTGATCTCTTTTGAGTAAACTGTAGTCCTTATGACACAGAACCTCAATTTTTATATGAAAGCAACTTTACAAGCAAAATTTTTCAGCAGACCACTTTTTCTAGAACCAATCATAGAGCCTTTGACTGGGAATTTTCGTTAGGCTATTATGTTGTGAGGTAATCATTTAAAAGGCAAGTTTTCTCCATTAATGAGGACAGCTCCATTTTCTCTCTGTCCATCTTGAATAAACTAGGATTTCATAGATCCATGCTCAACATATTCCTCTTCTACAAAACAACAAAAGCTTACTTAATGTGCCAACCTACCATGTTTCGTTGACCTTTGTAGTCGTTCAGCCAGCTTAGACTTCAGTCAGAACAATTAGCCATTGATGGGCTCAAAAAGCTCATGCCAATTTTTATGCCCCCCACTCATAGTTTGGGCAACTAGGACAAGCTACATTTGTTGACTGAATTTTGGTTCACTGCCAATTGACATAAAAAGTATGTTTCTCTGCCAGAAGCAATCTCAACCATAACTTAGTTAATTACATAAATATTTGACCATTTTTGTTGGGTTTGTTCTATGACTTGGAATGGTCTGGCGTCATCACTGCCTAAGGCTGGACATCCTTAAAAGACGTCTCTGCCGTCAAATAATCTATTATCAAGATATGGTCAACAAACTTTGGCAGCCAAGCAGAAACCACTTCATTTGCTAGGTGAATCTGAATGCCAACAAATTTAAGCTCCTATAGCTTCCAATAAGGTCACATAATTCACAGAGTACAATGTTTGTACTGTATTCCAATTTTTTATGATGATCAAAAGACAGAATCCAATATACAAGACTCCAATTCGACTCACTGAATTGACAATCATGTTCTATAATGGAAACCAAAATATTTAAGCATATCTTCTTCTTTATGGATGGAATACATACTAATACCCCAAAGTGAAGTGTACCCATGCTATACCAACTTTCGCAACCAATTGATTCGAGTGCTCTCATATTTCAAACAAGTAAATTATACATGACAACTAATACATTCTATAAAGCTCACAGCCACGTCCCACAAAATGAAAGAACAACAAAGAACGAAGGAAAACAAAGTAGAAAAACATAGTTTGAAACAACAATGAGGGCAGAAGGCAGCACATGTAGAAGAAACTTTTAAGCATGAGATTTGAGATCAATAAAGATGAACATGGATTACCTTATCAGCTGAGCCAGTAACGACCACCTCACCCTCAGCCACAAATTTGACACTAGTAACCTGAGAAAGAGAGGGAAAAAAGAAAGATATTTGATTAGGTGAGATTATTTTGACCAGGAAACATAAATTCAACAATTGAACAAACCTTCTTTGAATGACCACCTAGTGTAGATAAGATCTGTCCTGAAGGTCGATCAAAGACTACAGCATTCGTATCAACCCCACCAGTAGCAATGATATCCTAGTAAACCAACAGCAAATATCCTTTATCATTATTTATTGATTTTAAAGAATAAAGGACATTCAACAACAATCTACCACGCATAAAAAAGAATAACACCCAGATTAGTGGCCATTAATGGGGGATCTGGAAGAGATAGATTAGGCAGAGACCAAACCTTTGGCATTATTTACAGAAAGGGGTTGTCCTCAGATTCGAAACCACAACCAGCCACATGGCATATACAAGAGTAAATAAAAAAGGACTTACAATTGTACAAACCATACCTTAGAGTGATAAATATCCATAGATAATATGCCAGGTTTGTTGGTTTTGTGAAGAGGGAAACTACTGAGCTGCGTATACCTGTCCACAGCTTCAACAGGAGCCAGTGTCGAAGGGATCTGGAAATAAAATCCCAAAAAAAATATAACATATATGCTAAGAAAATACCTTCATACATAAATGATAAATGGAACCTTTATTGAATTTTCTGTTAAAGAAATGAGATCACAGAAACAATTAAAGAAACAAATGATACAAGCAACATCTAAGAACTGTCATTCCTATCTCATGAATCACTATGATTTTATATCATCACAACAAATACCTGCCGCTTTTTCCGTTGCTGTGAAAGTGCTGCATTGCAGTCAGTAAGCTCTGCAATGATGGTAGCTGAGATTCCTGGACGGATTCTCTTTCCACCAGTTCCCATCTCATCATCCTCAGCAGCTGTAATTACAATAAAGACCACAAATGAACGACCATACATGGTAGCAATCAAGATAAAGTGAACCTGGAAAAAAAAAAGTAAGAACCTCTTTTCCCATTGCTTAAAGAAGAAACATTCACAGTAGTTGCTGTTGACGCTGCCATTGGTATCTGCCTTTCAGCCTGTGCCAGTAATGCCCTTGCTTCATCCCTTTCTTTTTTCAGTCTCGCAATTACACGGCAAGCAGCATCATGCTGCCAACATATGACAGACAAATATTGGCTACCAAATTTCATACAACTAAGCAAATGAAAAAAGGTATATTCGCCCCAAAAAAAAAAAAAATCTAAACCATGAGAGAGAACCATACAAGGAACAAAAAGTGCAAAACTAGAAAAATCAACATATGTATACTGCATCTAAAATTAGTGACTGTCTTGATTTTTCAGCAAAATCTTCCTTCTCGATACAAGGGTTTAAAAAGTTGCCCTCGTGTAATACATTCACTGCACAACATCATCAAAACAGTCTTCAAAAACATATATTCTAATGTTTCGCATAACACTTGACAATTCAACTCTTGCTAATGCTCACTGTCAGCATTTTACTATTCAAAACTGATGGGTGTCACACTATGCGTGTGTTTTCCCCACTTTTCTGGTAACTATTTAGTCCTCGCTTGAAATATAGCCAAGTGGCAACCAATACGAAAGGAGTTAACACTAAAGCAAACTGCTAGAGAGCCCAAAAAAATTCCTTATCTAATAGCAAACACATCGATAAGCTACGCATTTCTATTTTCCTCTTTTTTTTTTTGGGAAAGGGGAGAGGGGCATCAGGTATGTATAGAACTATGTTTATTATAGGAAACAAAACCTTCATTTCACATAAAGACTGAAGTGTACATAAATGGTGGACAAGAAATCCACTTAAGCAAGCACCACATGCAAGAATTAAGTAAGCAAAAAGACATCAACTATTAGCAGCTTTCCAGTTGTGGGGAATAACTAACACAATAGTGTCACGGAACTCATTAGATTAGAAACCACAGGCTAAAGAGAAGCCAAAAACTTCACTCTATCCCATAACAACTCCCTCTCCTCTTCTTTTGCTTTAAGCATTCCGCAATTCCTCCCCATCCACACCACCAGATAAATGGCCAAAAAAGGAAATTTCCATAGCATGGAAGCTTTTTTACCGTAGCCAAAACCATCAAAACACACAACTAAGGAAACACAATAGCAAGGTGTGACCCACATCAAATCTGCCTCCCTCAATAGCTTATGCCACAAGAAAATGGCAATGGGACCATGAAGGAACACGTGGTCAACACTTTCACACATAACGCAGCAATGAGGGGAAATATAAGTGTTAAGCTTTCTCTTTTGCGACAATCATAAGCATTAACTTTATTGTGAGCAATCATCCAAGCAAACACCAGCACATTAACAAGCACTCTAGCCTTTCAAATTATCAAATGGGGTTCAAAGATTGAATAATTAGGAATATTAATCAAATGTCGAAAATGGGAACCACAAAGGAAATTTCCACAGGAATCAAGACCCCAAATCCTTTTATCTCTAACTGATGGATCTAAAGAAACTGAGTCAAGCAAAGGAATCAAAGTAGCGGCAAGCCGAGTATTACGACTAAAGGGAGAGAAGCAAAGCTTCGTTGGAGACTCCAAGTTTTCCCAATCATAAAGGTTATGGAAAAAATTAAATTCCCTCCCCCATTGAAAAAACAGAGGAGTACAAAACAAATTTACCACAGGAACACTATAAGAACCTGACAATCAATAAAGTCGAGGGAACAGTAAAGCAAAAGATGTATGTAGCCCATGTAGAGATGCACTATACGACGCTGATGACAAAAAAATGCATGTGTGTGTCCACACATATCCAGCTAAGTCACAACACGATGAACATCTACTAGACACATTTGATGCCTAGGCACATATACTATTTCGGCACATTAAAGAAATCTCAGTTCTAAAAATAGTTCTAAAAAGAAAAATAAAATTTTAAAAGGCACATTCAGATTAAAAGAAAACAATGTTTTTGCTTTCCAAAACTTTCTCTACACTTAATATTCCTTCAGTAGTACTTATAAAAAAATTTACATGAAGTATTATAAACCTCGAGTAATACTAAGAATTTGAACTGGTTATGCAGTCTACGTTACAGTATTGTTCCAAATCTCTTGAGGCACATGGAATTTGCCATCATAAGCAATATTGAAAATCTTAAAATTCATAATTTGGAAAGTGAAATTTATTGTATGGTAACATGAGAACAAAAATAATTTATGATTAATTAAAAAATCATGTCACATGACCAATGCATTATCATTTTTCAAAATGAACCACAGGAAACAGGGTATATAAAGGGAACTCTGCACTTAAACAACAAAAGATATACAGTTAAGGAAATATATAAGCCGCTTGGGTATACCTGGTATAGGGCATGACTTAGCTCTTGCCTTGCTGTATGTAATTGTTGCTCCAACGCAAAATTCGATAGCATCAAACCATCCCATTCCTAGTATAAAAAGAAGATGATCATAATAGAACGAACTATTTGAAATCAGACATTAAGATGATGAATTTTTTCCTTCCCAAACAAAGTAGAATAGAGGTAATATTAAAACAGTAGACATATGCAGACATACATATGCATTGCGACAAGGCATCCATGAAATCCATTAGGTCTAAAATTATTTTAAGAGGAATTGCATAACTCATTTGAAAGAAATTAGGACCCACCAGCTAAAAGGCGTTGGTCAACTAGAATGTCGACCAAATAATGAGTAACTACAAATAATATGAAAGTTTACCGCAATGTTTTTTGGGTTACCAACGCATAGATACACAGGAAACGGGCTCAATATGCAGCTTAATTATGGTTCAAAATATCGGTCGATACCGACACGAGTTGGCCAAGTCGTATCCGTCTCAGCACCTTCGGAGACAATACCGTTACACGATTAGTATAAATCACGAGTCTCGCACAACTCGACCGAGTCGTCTGAGTTGTATCTGAGTCAATCCCAAGTCGCCGAAATATTGTTACCAAAGTGGTCGATATAGTTTCACGATGCCACAATATGATATGAATTTCTCGTCATATTTAAAATTTTATTTTAGGTCGTATACCATGCCGCGACTGATGTATCTCAAAACTCTCCGAATTGATGGTCGATACCACGATCTTGAACCATGAACTTAATTATAAACACAAATGAGAGAGGTAGGTTTCTTAGCTTAATATAAAATTAAAATTCTTTTGATGGCTATTGCTTGCGCCCTTTTATTTTAAAATTTAAATCCTCCTGCACGTTTTGACTAAAATTGGTGTTATACACATGGAATAAAATGAGGACAATCAAGAACCAGCTTTTCACAGTCATATTAACTCTTCTAGATCAAAATTGCACCATGATTATGACTGTTTAGATCAACAGAGTCCCCATAGATTGGGGTAAAAATGGTTTACAAAAATATCTTATGACAGTAAGATAGTATATATGCATGCAGGCACACAATCAGAGAACCGTAAAAGCCAATGCTCCAAACTTTACTTTTCTTTTTTTCGGATATGAGCTCATTGATTTCTGGGTTTTGCAGCTGAAGCTGCAAACCCACTGGAATGTAATTCCAAAAGGCAGGAAATAAATTATACAGGTAATGACTATTAAGCAATCTTTATAAGTCACCAGACTCAATATAATTGAATCCACCACTCTGTTCACTAAAAAACCACAGGAATATGACGATAATGAAGATGAACCCTACCCTCGAGGGCATAGAAATTATAATCATGTCTTCAAATACATGATATTTTTTGATAGGAAGTACATGATGATTTTAAGTGGAATGACATCACAAATCTAAACAATAATTGATGCACTTAGTAAAAGTAAAACAACCCAGTGCAAGACGTTCTTATCACAATGAGGTCTGGGAAATAACAATAGCGGTGGAAAAAGGATTTTAGGGAGAGGAACACGTACAATCTGGAACATGCCAAGCATCCCAGGAATGCTGGCAGCTTGTACTGGTCTTGGCTTCACTATCTACATAAAGTCCAAAAATAGTACACTTATATATGATATGCCGATAAGATTATAGAAGATAAAAATTGATCCCAATAATAAAATGCATATATTACAGCTTGCTGTACACATAACACGAAGCATACCTTTCCCGTTTTGATTGGAACAATGTCGTCCATTGCCAGCGGCTCCCCAGTAACTGGGCATTTTCCATAGTCCTAGTAAAGAACCAAACGACAATGCATCTTTCTATCAAACAGACATTTAGTATCACACATCAAAAGTGTACCGATGAACATCGATGGAACAAGAACAATTAACAGAAAATCCCAGCCCCAGAACAATGCATTACTGGCCCCTGTTTGATTGCTAAACTGGCAAAACAAGACCTACAAAAGTAGAAGATCGAAAAAGGACTGCCTTTTTGTTATATAACTCAAATGCACGTCTGGTACAGTGGTTCCCAGATGCAATTAGTTGGCAAACTTTTTCCCATCACAAAGAATAATAGGAAAAATAACTGTACATTTCAGTAATGCATTTTAATAGTATAAGCCAATGTTTGATAAAGAGGAGCTTTTTAATGGATTTTAAAAGCTTATTCCAATGTTTGGCAAAGATGGAATTAGATGTGGGATAACACCACATAATCCAATCCAACGTTTGGTGAAACCATGGGTTAGACTGCACAAAATAGCCAATGAAAATATGTACCTCTGAGATTGACACATAACTCTGAAAATCAGCTATGTTAATGCATCAGTTAGGCAAATAACATAAGAAAGATAAAGTTTTAATGGGAAAAACAAGTTTCCCTAATTCAAAGCAAGAAACCATAAATCATGACATTTAAATCATTGTTATGGCTCAAAACACATCTGAGTTTTTTTCCATAAAAATCATTGTAATCATATGACAATAGCAAAACTCCAGCAGAAAACCATCTGCACTGGATCGGCAAAGGGTTATGCAAGAGCAATGACAAGGAGAGGAGTGATATGGTGTAATTCACGCAAATAATACTAAGCTGCATTGGGGAAAGGTTGTTTATTGTTTTTCTTCCCCTTTCATCTTATATTCTAAAGTCTCAAAACAAGAAAAATTTCTGCTGCATTGGGGATTATGGTATTATGCCTTCAAACTGGAATTTGAGAAAAACTAGTTTAAAATTAGAACTTGGGTGGTGGACTGCAATTCTGATTCCATGGCCAAATGCACCCTCAAGATTTATATGAACATACGGTAATGCAAGTTTTTTAAAATCAGACATTCAAACATCTACAAACAATATCAAAAGGACAGATCCGAAGACAACAATCAGAAAAATATAGCAAAAATTCAAAAAACAAATGCCTGGAGTTAAGCAATACTTTTCCTTCTCCTTAAACTAAAGAGTGTGCCTTATGAGGGTTTGAAACAATCAGAGAAATTGATTAAAATTAAATGTACATCGCTTTTCTTTTCTAGCAGTAACCAAACGGGATATAATGGATTAATGTATTTACAGAAAACCTAGAATTGGATCGAGAGCGAAAACAAACCAACCGATATGTGTCTCTCGATTAATCTCTTCTCATAGAGAAGTCCAGACTTCTTCGAAACCACAGGCTCTTCTGGCACCTCGCCAGAGACTGTACGACACAGTTAAACACAAAGAGCACAGATCAATCAACAACTCCAACAGCACCAAACAATACTACATATCCGCATATATATATATATATATATATATATAGAGAGAGAGAGAGAGAGTTACTTGAACAGTTCATTGTGCAGAAGGAGAGCTAGGGTTTGTGGTGAGAGCGCTTCTGCTCTTCGGCGCAGTTTCAGTAGCAGAAGCTATTGCTGAAGAAAGAGAGGGAGAAAGAGGGAGAAAAAATTGAGTTGACGAGGGTTTTGGATATTTACGGTACGTATGGAAACCCGACCCGAGTACTATAAGTTTGGCTTGTGTAAAATGGAGCGGGAAACATCAGTTCTGGGTTTGGCCCACAGGGTTGGGATACTATATATTTTTTTTTTTTTTTGGAGGAGGAAGGAGAAAGGGGAGGGAGATTTAAATCTTTAATCTTAAAAAGACAAAGTCTTTACAAAATAAGAAATATCATTGAAATAAAGACTCATCGGTAGGGGTGGGATACTACGACGGTCCAAATTGTATATTATTTGGCAATTCTTTTTGAAGTAATTTAATTGAAAAAAATTAATAAAAAACCAAAAAATATTTAGTTATTGTTTGGCAGATTTTTGAATTGCGGATATGTCAAAGTCTAATTGGACTTAAATTCAAACGCTTACAATCTTACCTATTTGAACCGATGTAAGGTTTTAAACTCGTGATCGTTTAAATGAGTGTAATAAAATATAAGACTATTTCTGGACTCTTTTCGTTGCCTTGTAGATCAATGACTTGACTAATTTTCAATCAAGTAACTTAACAAACTTAGATTTGGGAAATAGCAACCGGAATAACAACAATAAAGTAAATGACAAATGTAATTGTGTAAACTACTGTACTTGCATTAATCAGAAAGGAAGATCATCGGATGATAGTTTATAAGATAAAGGAAATTTACAAGAAAATAGACAAAGTAAGAGAGAGATTGGCTATGTGTATTATTGTGGGTTGATCGATAGATCTTTTCCTGTAGCATCCCTTTTGATATTTATAAGAGATAATCTCTAACTTCTTCTCCCTGATACTCTTAGATGTGCACTGTACCGTCTTTAACTAATGATTCATAATATTTTGTCTCCTTATTTTCCGAAATTCAAGAAATCGTATTTTCTTAACTATTTTGTTATCTTGACCATTAGATCTTTGCTACGTGTCATTATTAGATTTTAAGTTGGGTGTACACTGATATTATTTTATAAAAGTAAATTATAGGTATTTTAGTGTATATATAATAAATTATTGTATATTTATATTATTATAAATCATGCTTGAATAAGCCAAGCTTGAGCTTGACATTTTTCTTTTGAGTCGAACTTATGCTTAAAACAAGACTCGAAGATCAAGCCCGAATCAAATCTATACATCTTCTTAAAAATTTGAGTCGAGCCTAAGCACAATGAAGCTTGTTGGGGTTGGCTCGATTATCACCCCTACCCTCTACTTGGCCTACACCCACACAAAAGAAAATATCTCCCCCTTACATTCAAAATTTTTAGATGAATTACCTATCGTCCTACATTTTCCTCAACGTTATTTTTGCAACCTTCTGAAAAGAAACAACAAAGTATTCCAAGGGTGTATTTGGATCGCAGATTAAAAGGGGATAACACCAGTAGGATATGACAAAAAAATATATGCAGCCCATTTATTCCGCGTTTGACAAGTGAAAAAATGCACCAAAAATTCTGTTTGGATTTACACAGATCGGGTAAGTGGGAAAAATAACATATTCGCCCAAAGCCATCAATCTTACCCTACCCATCTTCACGCCTTCCCCTCTTCTCTGCCCAGCGTCGCGCTACCCATCTTCATTCCTTTCTCCATGAACAACTTTTGGCCATTGCAGAATGGAAAAATCTAAAGTCCCCAAACATTGTCCATTGCTCTGGTGGGCAGCTCCTTTATTGGCTTAGAATAAATAATTGACTTGGAATAAATATTGGTTTATCCTAACTCTTATATTAAGTCACAATCCATCCCGAAAAAGAGATAAGGTGTAAGTAATCCGACTCATTATCTTCGACAACAAAACTCAGTCAATATTAATTAACTTGTGCAGTAATTAAACCAATTCGTTTTCCACGACACTAAAAATTGACATTTTCAAAATCCAGTGTTATATCGACATGACTCTTAGCATAAAGTACAATCTAACATCAATACCTCCATGTCAAGCTAAACTTTTCAATGGACCACTTACTTAATTTGAACACCTAAAAACAAACACTGAGCAAATCAAATGCTCAAAGAATATATTTGAGACATTAAAAAGAAACGCATAAGTACTAAACAATTATATTCATATCTCATATACACACTTAAAATAAAATTCATATTAAATACCCAACAACCAATGCCCAACATCAAAATAACAATATTCAAAATCCAATATCCAATATCTGATACCTCATAACAGTTAACACTACATGTTTTCGCTCGAAAGTCTCGACAGTTATATCGCTATGATTTTCACCTAGCAATTTCAGCAAACCCTTCACTACTGTTTACGCCCGATAATCTCAACTATTATGTCGTTACTATTTATGCCTAGTAATCTTGATAACCTCATATTGGTAAGCATTCACAATCATTTTCAAGTAATTGAAACCACAATCAACACCAATCCCCGACCCTTAAGTCATTGATTCACAATCTAGTTATTTCAAATAAATATACCTAGTAACAAATAATCACCATTTTATAGTTCATAGCTTTCCAAATAATCTTCAAGCTATTTCACATAAATATAGTTAATAAACACATAAGCACATTTTTTAATCAATATAAATCAATACACTCATTTCGAGTTAAATCCAAACCCTGATTTAGCCTCCCTGTATAGCCTTAGGTGAATTTGACATTGACGTCATAGCCTCAACGCCTAACATACATTATCACAAGTCATATAAATAAACATTTTAACACACAATTGTTATGCTACATATGCATAAATAAGTATTCGGGCCTAACCCAATACCTTTTTCAACACCTCCTCATTTACTTTAATGTTCTTAAACTCGAAGGTTTATCGAGGTATTTGTAGGTAAATAAAATTAATTAAAATTAATTTGAACCCACTAAAATACCTTGAAAAACCTTGAAGATCAGTGGTTAACAAATTATGGACAATACGACAAAATAGTAAAAATTTCATGTTTCTACCAATAGAGCTTCACTTCTTACTGGTAAAACACCTCAAAGAATATCGTTCTACCGGTAGAACAGTCTATGTCACTGTCTATCGATAGAACCCCTCACAGATAATCGTTCTACTAGAAGAACATCATATCCTACCCAGTAGAACACCTCATAATGTCGTTCTAGCAATAGAACCTTGACAAAACCTTTTTCTTCTAAAACCCAATAACCTAAACATCAATATCTACCGATACATCAATATCTACCGATACCCCCAAACATCAATATTGATGGTGTAAACCAAATGGTATGAGTAATGAATCGTAATTATGCTTTGCAGTGATGGTGATGTGATATTCTTGCCCTTATTTCATGGGGTTCTCCTTAATTCTATGAGAAGATCTTGGTTGATTAAGATTAAGTGTCTTGATTATAGCTTCCTAACGCTTTAGGAACCTCTCGTGGTTATCCAGTCGTGGCCTTGCCTCAAGAGACATTCAGCCCTTGCCTTCTGACCTCAGTTAATATGGCTGACCTCCCGGTCTGAGCTGACACTTGGGATTTACTTTAGGCATCATCAATTGCCCCCCAGCCCTTGGCCCAAGCAAGCTTGGATGGGTTGAGTTGCTTTCGCATTGGACCAGGCCTGCACCTAGCTGACCTTAGTCTGCATGTGAGATGCACGTAGGGGGCTCTTTGACGGTTTATAGCAATCATGGTTTTCTCGATTCATGTGCATATTTCAGCCCACGTCACTCAAGCTTTAAATGCTCAATCGGCTGCTCAAAAAACCGCTCAAAACTCCATGTTCATCTTCTACACTGTTCACCTTTGTCTCCGGCTCTTTCTCTCTACGATTTCTGGATTTTTCTCCACGCGATTCTCTTATTTTCTGCTCAAAACTGTGCTTTCTGGGTTTGACTCGAAGTCCTGCTTTGCTCTTCTCCTCCAATTTTGTTCTTTGGCTGTTATTTGTTGTTCTCTTTCCTGTCTAGGTACGCTTCCTTCTGCCCCTTTCTCTTTCTCTTGCCTTTCCTCACTCTAGATCTCTCGACTTCGAGGTGGCCATTATTTTTCTGGGTTTTTCAGTTCTTTTTCTTTTGGAATCGCGATCGTTGTCTATCTCCTCTTTCCCGCTTTGTGGATTGGAACTCCACTGTGCGAATTTTTACTGTCGGGAGGTACAGTGTTGACCCTAGGATTATCAGTGGTTGTTTAGTTAATATTCCTCCTTTTTATAATTATTTCGATTTGCCTTTCTCTTTGCCAATCATGTCTACCTCATCTGAAGATACTCCCTCCTCTGTTTCCCTCCTAGGTGACAGATCTACCGAGAGAGACTCTGATTTAGGAGATGTAGGTGATGAGATTAACAACTTTTCCCGGTGTTGAGGCTGTCGATACCGAGGTGGACTCCAAGGAACTCCCCTCATCTTCCTCTCATGTACCTCCTAGTGCTGACAAAGGTAAGGGCAAAGTGAGTGAGGTTGGGATTCCTGATAGTGCAGCGGGTATGGGGGCTGCCTTCAGGCATGCTAAGCTCGTGGGTCCCAGTGGAGTGGATCATATTCTCATGGAAACTCTTAGTGCTCGTTTTGGCTTTTTTCCTGGTGTTCAGCCCTGGTGTTTGGATAAATTCACCTTGTACGTTTCTCAAGTGCACAAAAGAGTTTGTTTCTTTGTGGCCGCTTTCGAGAATGACATTTGTTTCCCTATGCACCCCTTCATCAAAAATGTTCTACAACACCTCAATGTCTGCCCTACTCAGCTTTCTCCCAACTTTTAGGGTGTTTTAGTGGGTCTTTTAGTTTTCTTTAAGAAGCATGGGCTTGGGACTCCCACCATTTCTCTGCTTATAGACCTTTTCAATGTCAAATTTACCTCAACTGAAGGTTTTTTATATGTTTCTAGGCGGACCTCATCTAGGCAGATCATCACACACCTCCCGAGTTCTCATAAAGGCTGAAAAAAGGATTTCTTTTTCGTTGGGGGTGTCAACTGAGAATACAACCCTGCTGATAAAACACACACTCTTGGGATTCCTAGAGCCTGGTTAGCCCCAGATAAC